TACAAGCTGTTTAAAATGCAAAATTTATTTGGAGAGACTGAAAAAGGGGAGCATTAATTAACTTTCTATACTTGAGAGATTTTGCTTAAGTCCTTCAGCAGAATTGAGACAATTACAAGGCTATCTTATTTCCAACAACAGAAAAGAGCACATGAAGATGGGAAGAGAAAAGAACTCAACAGACCTGTGCTAAAAATGAGTGTGTCTGCATTGCACAGTGCAGCCACATCTGATTACTTTCTAGTTGTTCCACTTGGCTTTTCTGGCTGTAACCAGACTAGCAAAAATGCTGAGATTTCTCATTTCAAGCCTTACAAGGAAAGATGTTTACTTAAAAAAAAAACAAAAAGGCTGAGAAAGGTTGGGTGCATATGCCACCAGTACTGTTGGGCCCACATGTCAAAATCTCAGTCGAAAATTAGAAATGTGTTCTCATTCAGTCTTTCATTTAGGTAATACAAAGTCTCCCTAATTGTTTCTGTGGCGCTTGATTTGCGCTGGAGTAGGACTGTAAGAGTCTTATCCCTCGGGGAATAGGGATCGTCATGAAAATGAGATGTGAATCTTGTCAGGCTGCCTGGCGTGTATGAAATTTTAACTAGATAGATCCCGGTACAAGGAATTTTGTTAGAACTGCTGAATAATAATTGTAAAAGTTCAGGAAGTTGATTTTTCCTGCTTTGATAGCAATTGTAATGACTTCAGATTAATTTTAGCATTAAAAAAAGAGGTAATTGCAGTACTTAAAACCCTGAGGCAAATCAGTGGAAATACTTTGGAAAGGATAATTATACCTGCAGGAGGAAGACTATCTGTTTAACAGCATTAGCTGGTCCAATTAAGGAGAAGTGGAGGAAGGGCCAATTTGTTACTACTTTAACTATTCTCTGAAAAAGTGGTTTCGATACGCAGGCAATAGAAATCAGTTTGTTTTTTTCTAAGGTGATTCTCCAAGGTTTAAACATTTTAAGGACTCTTGGGGGGGATCTTGTCTCTAGTTGTCATTAAGTGCTTAACATCACGGACACGCTGGTGTTTTACCATCTAAACAAGGAGAGAGGGTTGGGTGTGTTTATGCAGCAGGCATTTTGTTTCACATAGTTAACCTAATCTGGCCATAATCCCAGTCTAAACATCCATAAAGAGATTATTCTTCATCGGGGGAAGATGGGACAAGAGGAGGATTCTTTGTTGTTCCAAAACAGCAGCAGGTTTGGGTTATTTTACCACTGATAAGAGCTAGAGTGGGCCGCAGGCTGGCTGAATGCAATGTAGGATCTGCTCTCACAAAGCTTTCCCTAGGGTTTGCCTGCTCTAACATAAATAGTGATGTGTGTGTCTTTATGTATAGGTGTGGGAACGGACCAGTGTGTACACACACCAGTCGTTTTCAAACTAACGCAGGGATTTTGTGTCAATGCATTAGAGAATATATACTTGCATGTATAAGCAGGCATGGATTTTACCAGAGGGAATAGAGGGAACAGAGTTTAAGAAGGTTTTAATCCTTCCATGAATCCTTATCTTTCAGTTCCTTGCTGGAGTGCTGGCGTTGCTTCTGGCACTGTCCTCAGATCTTCAGTGGTTAAAAAAGTTTTAACTAAAAGTTAAAAGCGAAGGCCAAAACTCGCTTTGTGCGGTTACACAAAGGTAGTAGCGCTGTACGGAAAGGGCAGCACTGTCCTCTTCAGAGTTGTAGCACAGAGACAGGATTTTTTTGTCCGGCAGTGGTTTTTCTGAGCTTTCTGAGGCAGCCCTTCACCGGCTGGAATTGCAGAACATAATTTAGGCAACAGACAGCTCTACCTTTGTTAAAGCAAGCATACTCTCTGTTAAATAATCCAGGTAGGTAATAGCACAAAGGTACTCTTTCATATCCGCTATGGGTTTATTTCTGTATCTACCCACAGACAGAGGCATAAATATGTATGTATTTATACCTACAGAGTATTAAAACAGCATTCCAAAACAAAACAATCCCCTGAATACATCTTTGCCTGAGCAGACCCCAGAGAAACTGATAGAAGATTGATGTTAATCACGTTGTTCATGGCACGGCTTGAAAGCCGTCAGCCAGTGCCGCCTCAAACATAAACCCACTATCGCTACTGCCATACTGGCCATACCCACAGAACCCACTGCAAAGAGCATAAAGCCTAATTACTTAAATACAGTGAACAAACACGCCATTAAAACAGGATGATGTAATCAGGAAAAGGATAACTAGAAATTTCAGCGTTGGAAATTTTAAATTAGAATGAATAATAAAAAGCATTTTAATTTTGCAAAATTTAAAGCTGACAAGGAGTTTGTTTTCTTCTTTTCAGTGAGAACATCAGCAGTGGACAGAAAGTCAAACAAACTGAACGTCATGGACTGTAAGTAAAATACTTGATCTACCATGTACAAAAAAGATACTAATATCTAGCCCGAGAGGTGGTATGACTGGAGCAGCAGCAGAGAAGTCAGTACTTTGCAGGTGCAATGGGTATGTTTGGTTCATTAAAGTCCAGGTCCTACCGTAGCTTTACGCAGCTTTATTCAAGTAGAATGATCTAGTCCAAAGAGAGGCTCTCTGAGCTCTGTGTACTGCAATTAATCTTCCCATTCTTTTGGTTAATTGCAGAACCATACCTTATCACTCCTATTCAATGACCCTAGTGCATTTCCAGTCCCCTAGCAGCATGCAGTCTGCTGGTGCTTGATGACTAGCAAGAAAATAACTGACCCTGACACATGATTTTCATGGGGCAGCCCTTTAATGATTAATAAAAATATGAACGGCACCACAACAGCCTCTCTTCTCAGTCTCAGCTTCTAAAAAGAAAAGCAGGAGCTAAAGAAAGAGGCTGAAACTGTTACCTGTTAAGATTTTTTCAACAATTAGTCACTTTTGCCTCTCCTAATCAAAATTATGTTTATATTCCATTTTAATATAAAATCTCATCATTCACCTTGAAAACATTTTTTTTTTCTCTTATGACAGAAATGAGAAAAATGCAATGATTTTAGAAGAATGTTGAAAGCCACAGTAGCTCCCCAGAAAAGAATGTGCATCTCATGATCTACTCTGATGGAAGGACAGCACCAGCTTCTCACACTCGTTACTTTTATCAGCTCTGCATAAGTTAAGAAAGTGGTTAAGCAATGGACTTGGAAAATTTTTATTCTCATCCTACATTTCTTCAGCACTGAGGGTACTCAGTTCCAGATTTTTAATTTAATCCATTTTATAAAAGCCTAATTGCAAAATTGTGTGGAGTTAGACTAAGTTCTGAGTTTTCCTATCACTTGGGAAAATTCAGCCTAGCTATTAAATTCTCACTTCATCTTCTGTCAGTGCTAATGTATATACTTGACTGAAAAACAACCAGCTTGGAGGTGTTGCTATAAGGCACACAATAAATTACAGACCCTGCTCCAAAACTTTGCGAATGTATTAGTACTGCTGATGTAATTGCATAAAAATCTTATTTTGGGGAAACGTGATGCATCCACCCCATTCTGTGTATTCAAAGGCCAAACTTTTCCAGCAAGTTCAGTGAATAAGAATGAGGTTAAATGGAAATGGTGTATGTTGAGCCTAAAAATATTAAACAAATACCCCCACCTCCTCAAACAGCAAGTCTCTTCCTCTTTTATATAAACAAAGGTAGAAACAGAATCAAAGCATCTTCACTTTTTTCCTAGTATCCTGTTCATTCAGTAATCAGAGATGCATAGTTAATAGTTTGCGCTAGACGCAGCGCATTAGTGGCTTGTTATTAGAATTACAAACTAGTAACATTGAAACTAATTAAGAGAATAAAAGAGCTGGCCCTGCTGCAGCGCCTAGGTGTAGCGTTCTCATTTTGAATGTAAGCAGCTTAGACTGATGGGACTTCAGACATCCATACGCAGTGCAGAGAATATAACTGCCAATATTTCAACACTTAACTACTAGTATTATTTTCTCTAAAATGTCCTTCATGGTGGATATAACCTCCCAAACAAGGAATGCAGCAGATGAGTAGGTAGCAAAGAAGTCCAGTTGTAGTGTCTTGGCCAAATTCCAGCTTCAGTAATTACACTCTGCTCTTAAATTCCCCCTGGAGCTCTACTAGAATAAAGCTCTTTTTCAGCTTGTCCTGAAGCATTGTGTAGTATTTCTGTGAAGCTGTACAACACTGAAAAATATCTCCTCCCATTAAAACTGCAAGGGGAATTTAGGTAGACAGAAAGCTATTACCAGAGTTTGAATTTGGGCAGAACACCAAGGTTAACTTACACTTGCATTGGGATGAAGGAATCTTTGCTGACTAGGAGTGTCAGACCCTCGTTAAAGAGCACGAGTGGGAATAGCTCAGGGTGCTGCCTGAATACAAACTCGGAAACTTGGGCTCTCCGCACCTGGAAGTGACTGCAGGAATGTTTCCTAACAAATGACTCTGTATAAAAGCCTCTGGTGCTATAAAGTATCTTATCACAACCTTATCTGTTTATTTAGTAATATTTATGAAATTATTTGTTGATAAAAAAAGTTCCAGCAATTTAAAAAAAAAAAAAAAACCACAAAAAAACCACCAACAACCCATGTTTTAAAAAAAGTCTTTACCAACAGAAAAGCAGCTATATAGCCCAATTACGCTGAGATAAGTATTTGCATTTCAGTAAGTCGATATACCAAGAACCACTCAGAGTTTCTAAGCAAGCTGAACCAGGCCTGCAGTACTAGTGAAAGCATTCTATGCTATGCTAAATAGACAGCTGTATTGTTTTCTTAGCCTCTAAATTGGGACTAATTTAAAATATTTAGCTGACTCCCAAATTAGTTTATACCCAAAAGCAAAAAGGTCATTCTTACTAGATTAGAATAATTTAGAACAACCACTGTACAAATTCCTGTAGAAAGGAAAAAACCTCTCCAAACCCATCCGCATACACTGCATCTGTTTGCTATTTGTATTTTGTGCATTTTTTATTTTTTTTTTTTTTCCTGTTGTTGCCTTGCTTTTTTCAGATCAGGGCAGCTGTAAGCTTGGTGCTTTTCCTTCACCCATTTCTTTAATCTCAACTTTCTCATATTTTCTTGTCCACAGCCACCTCAGAATAACCAGCACAGTGATGCGAAAGCCAGCAGTCAGTATCACCACTGTCATCGCAGCACAAACGTCAGCAACCAGCTGTCTCATGCAAAACTCTGGTGGCTTTTCATCAGCATAGTAAATACGTAGTTTTTCAATATCCAGAGCATCTCCATTGACAGAGACAGTTAACGTACTGTTAGAATGAAATATGGACTCATCTTTTATATCTTTTTCAAAGTAATAGGCTACATCAGCTTTATCTACCTCACACCTAGATTTCTGCCAATCACACTGGTTGAGGCGGATTTGGCTAAGTAGGGAATCATACTAATGGCTGCGATGTACCTGGAGTGCAGTTTGTATTGGCTCTCAAACTGATGTTTCAGGGCGTTCGCTACGTCGGGAACATTGAAGGGCCCTGGACTTTTTTTTGTGCTTCAGTTCAATGCAGATCCAGCTTGTTCTAACCAGTTCACTGCAACTCAGGCTTTTGTCACCCTTTTCGATTCTTCTTACTCCGGCAGTGTTCACACACCAGCAAGTATCAGTTTGATTGCACTACCTGGCTTTGAAGATACCACTGTCCTTGCAGTCTGGATTGTAAATGCCCTCATTATCTAGCAGCCCACGGGGATGGCCTCAGAAGCGCTTCTCCTTCAGGGGGATCATTTCTGCCTTCATCAGCAAGCATTTTGAAGTCAGTGTTGAACAGTCTACCTTGCGATTTGAACCTACCAGCGTGCACGTGCAGTTCCCAGATCCGTCCTGGGCACATACCATCCACTTGTTGGTTGCGCAGGTACAGTTGTTCTGCGCGGATGAAGCTGCCGCCAGAATCAAACCCAGCAAAACCCCAAACAGAAGCTCCATATCGCAGGTGAATAGCGTGGATCAAGTCCCAAGTGATAGCTGGCAATACCCGAAGCATTAATGCATTGATGGAGTCTACTCATTTCTACACGCTGGTGTGCTGCTCCCTTTATCCAGATTCCAATCAGACCCACCAAACAGGTTCTCCTTCCAAAACAGCTGGCACCTTGTACCCCAGTCCTAGAGAAGTCAACAAGCTGCACTTTCATCTCTTACTTCTCAGGGACTGGCGCCAATGCCTGCCTCTCCTCTTACTTGGTAACAACAGGGAAGCGACAAAAGCCAACCTGAAGCACAGCTCCTTCCTTGGGCTTCTCTTATGGGTTAAAGCACAAGCAGCTTGCCCTTTTCCTTCTTCAGACTTTTTCTGGACTATGTAAACGCATGTTTAAGGAATTTCTCACATTTCTGTTGGAAGAAATCTTACTCCTCTGCTTCCATTACGGTTTTTCCTGCATCTTCCATCACACGGATTCTGTATCATTCCCCTGTCTAAATTCTTATCAATTATGGACTTCCTCCTTCCTACTTTTGTATGCCTTTTGGAGTTTTATGTATGCTGCCTGGAGTAGCTGCCAATCCAGGGGGAACGACTGTTCATCGGTTTGACGCCTGCTCTCCTACCCACAGAGCACGGGAATGCAGTCTCATCCTCCAGTACGGAAAGCTCCTCTCCCCCCTTCCCTTTGGCACGTACTCATCCCCAGGCAGTACTAGCAATGATGATTTTCATGCTTGCATTACCCTTACGAAGTTGTTAGTCATTTCTGAAGAAATTTTTCAATCTGAACTTTGAGTAATGCCTTTCACAGTACACTCCAGGAGCTCCCAAGTGTCCTAATGATCTACAAAGCCTGAGTTACTGTTTCCATGTGCTTTGGCAGCAGCTGAAAGATATTTTGCAGTTTGCATTAAGCAAGTCCCATTCATCTGATTTGTCAAACACTGTCAGACACTTTATAAATCATTATTTCAGGACCAGTAACGACCACAAAACAGCGTATACCCCATTCTCCCATCCACACAACTTGCACGCTGCCTCGCAGTCGGCTCCTTTTACCTGCGCTGCTGTTTTCCCAAAGGCTTGGCCCGCTTCAAATCAATGCAGGCTGAGCTACTTGTAGTGACAGCTTGCATCTGTGCCAACAGCCAGAAGTTACCCTGGCTGCCAGTATTTATAACACAGAATAGGCTTAAAATTAGAGCTCCAGAGGTAAATAACTCCCCTACCACTAGAGAAGGGCACAGTCTGGAGCTGAGTTTTGCAGCTAGACCTAATTCTCAATGAGCCCCAGAAACACACGCTACTTCAGTGAGCAAAGATGAGACAAGTTCTTCAACTTATTCCTGGCTCCTTTATAGCACGTCATCACACCTCTCCATTTCCCCTTCCTTCAGGCAAAAATAACAGTAGTTACCTTTTAGAAAGTAATTGAGATCTACAGCTAAAATTATTATGAAAATTTCTAAGTATTTCAAGTTGTCATATTGATGATTCTTTGATAATAGTTCATTAACTCTTTTCCTATTTTTCAAGTCTTTCATTTACCTATAATAATCTGCTTCTTTTTAATTTCACATCCCTCCTTCAAAGTCAAAATGCATTTAGCTGTCACCTACATTCTCATATCTTGTCTTTATTTCATTTCACATTATGAACTTTAGAGAGAGTAGGTTTGGTTTTCTTCTCTAGAGGACAGAGCCTTAACTGCTGTAAACTCACAGCTCACGCCTGGCTTCAGTGAAGTGATGGCAATTTCTATACAGCCAAGAGCTACGCTGCCCTTGTGCTTGGAAAGCACCATATGGATGGGCAGTACCAGGACTTTTTAGTAAATACTTTGCTTGTACGATGTTTACTGATGTTCACGCTTTGTCTCGGCCTCGTATTACCATCTGACAGTTTCCCCTTCTTACAGACACTTGCAGTGAAGTAGAGAAAAAGGGGATTGTCAAAATTAATATATGGAAGAAAAACCATAGGTAACTAATCGAGATGCTCTGTTTTCCCTACTGGTGGAAGATTCTCATTGCTGTTACCTTAATTAAAACCTGCATTCATTGTCTTTTCCCTCAAAGGTGGGCAGAAGCACAACACTAGTTTTACATTATACCCATCACCAAGCAGAAAGTGTAGAACAGTGGCAAGAGAAGGGCAAAGAAGGAATAGTCTTAAATTTCCTCGACAGAGCTGCATAAATTGCCAAAATAAAAGTGCACTTTTCCATTGACTTTTATGTACTGGTGGATTTTCCGGTCTGTAAATAAGGACAGAACACACTTATTTTAAAGACAAAAGTCTTCCTAAATATCTAAATACATATATTTATATAAAAATATGTGATGCGTCTATGACACTAAAAAAATAAAAAGTATTATTTCCTTTAATCCATGCTAAGATGTGCTGTCACTACAAGAGTTAATTATTTAGAACAGCAGGCTGTAAAAGGAATAATCCTGTAGGAAATGTGGAGCGCATTATTTCTTTAGTGATCTCTGCTTCCATGGAAACAATTTCTCAGCACAATTCTAAGTCTCATAAAAATAGGGCACTAGGTCTATGTAAAACAGCAAGACATTTCCAATTAAACAACCAGGATGCTTTTATCTAGGCCATTAAATACTTTGTCCGGTATCAAATATGATTGCAACGTCCACTGGGTGCTAACAACCAGCTCCCTCCTGTGCACCAGCTCGGTGGGGCTGGATGAAGTCACCCTGCACGCATCCCAACATCCCTCACCGCCTCAGCGAGGTCTGCAGCAACAGCACAGAGGGTTTCCTTCCCCCTGCAGACGCCGGGGTGCGCGGCTGAACCACCCCACACCTTTCGAGGTGCCTCGCCTTCCCCTACACAACACGATGGCCTCACAGCTCGGCAATGCCCAGCATACCAAACTACCACAGCAGGAACGAGTTCATCTGGCTCCTGCTGCTGGCAGCAGCAGAGGGAGAACCAACACACCTCAGTCAAACTTGGGTAAGGCACAGGGCTGTTTGACAGCCCATCTGATGACCATCTTCAGAATTCACTGGAGTTGCCCACGACCACAAACCCATTACCTTACGTCCTTCAGTGATCCTACAGCCAGCGTTCTCTCTGTGAAAACAGCATGGAAAGTACCGATCTACCATCCTGGCACCCCTGCCACAAAGCACCACTGGATAATTTTCTGGGGGAGACTAATGCAGAGGGTTTGCAAGAACAAACGACAGAAACAAATCTATCCCAAGGTACACCGCTACTGCCCATAAAATTGAATGACTAGCCAGAAGTTGACATGCACTAGTAAGAAAAGGTTTCCTCTAAGTGAACATTTTTTTTGGTATCAGCTGTAGCAAAGCTCCCTCCAGTGGTATCACACTTCGGTGGATCACTTGGTTATCAGCATGGACTTGGAAAAAATAAATACCAGCCCTGATGCTCAAGAGATAAGCAGCCATTACAAACAGGGAACGCATCTGTCAAGGTATCACATACACCATCTTTATCAGTAGACTCTTGTATACCATCAGTTAGGAATATCAAAGCAGCAGCCAAAAGGAAAAAGGTACCTAGTATCAATGGCAACAGCATTAACTTTTTTTGTTTGGCTGGTTTGGGCATTAGTTTTGTTTAGTTGGTTTTGGGGCTGGTTTGTTTGTTTTCCTCAACTGAATTGTTCTTGGAAAGTTAGTTATTTAAAAAAAAAAAAGGGGGGGACGGGACATATTGCCTCCCCTGGCAAACAAAGCACACATCCCTGTGAAGAAGCACTGCTGAGAACTGGGATAGCAAAAGTCAACTCAGCCAACAAATGCCCATAAAGGATATTTACCAGAAGTTACCTCTTAGGGGTTTCAGGTTTTTTTGTTTGTTTCTTGATTTTTTTAAACTGTTGACTCTTCTAGTTTAAACTGCATCATTCTACTTGCTACTCAACCATTTCCCATCTCGTGAGTAACAACTTGGCACAGTGTAACAGCTGGTCTTACATAAAGAAATAGCATATTAGTCCACAATAGGTACACTAAGACAAAGCTAGTGTGAAAGGAATAGCTGGATGGGCAGGGGGAAAGAGCTTTGCAATAAAAAAATTTAATGCTTTTATATGTGTTTAGTAGCAGAACCGGTAGTATTAGTAAAATCTCCTTACAAGCATGCAACTTCCAAACTCAATACTATTAACCACACAGTCAAAATAAATGCGGAAAAGTAGGTTAGTTATTTTTCTTACCGTGGCTCCTGCCAACAAAATTATTACTTAGCACGACAAACTTGGCATTTCCAATTCACATACGATATCGTGTGACAATAGTGGATCACGGTGGTACTGGCAGTTGTATTTCCTCCCACGCCACCCTGCTAATGAACTCTCAGAAAACCTGCAGTTTTCGTGTGCGTTTCAAAGGCTCGGTACTGCACCACGTCCTCTTGAGAAGGGACAAACCGCTTCAGAAGTATGCTTTACTCACAACTGCTCTGACGTAACACCACTGTTAAATCCAATTAATACAACTGTATTACTTTAACTCATTTTAATCATTAAACAGAGAAGCAGTCAGCATGTTGTTACCACTACTTGGGTAATGCTGACATCCATCCTTAAATGCTTGGAAATCAACCGTTGTGGACAACGAACATCATCTACTTCATATTGCGGTTACATGAGAGGTTCAGAAGTCTCTTCCTACAAATCAGAACTAATTACAGCTTTCAGTATATACATTTATACTGTGTGATTTCTCTAGAGAGTAACCTATGCAAAACTGCAAAAGAATACCTTACACTGCAGACCACTGCACACCTAAGTAGGGAAGGAATGCTTTCTCACCAGGAGTGTAGTTTGAACTAGAAATACACAAAGCCATGCAGTATTTTTAATCAGGAAGTCCCAAAGATGACACTTTAGAATATATGCAGACTGAGTCAACATGCCTTATATAGATGGGTACACCAAGTTTGTAAGTTATACATAGTAGTGGGTTCTAAAGCTGCGCACCAGCAGATCTGAACATAGAAGAGAGCGCAGAACATTCACCAATATTTTGAAGTCCACAGCTCTTGAATCTGCATTGGAAGAATCACCAAGTATCAAGGGCTCACGTTTTCATACAATGCGGTTCTGCACCTTCTACTTTGTAACAGAAAGAGATCAACATTTTATAAGGCATGACAAAGAAGTAATGTTAACTGCCTGTAAAGGAGTTTCCTCCTTGCGATCCAACTCTAAAATTTTTAAGTTTTTCAAACTCTTTATACAAATGAAAAGCTGAAGTTAAAAATGTAAACATATAAAACCTTAAAATTCCATTTATGTTATGTAGAACTAGATATATATACACACATAGTTTTTTTTAAAATAAGAACTGAGTTCATTGTTACCCCTCTAGATATAAACTCAAGGTCTTGCTTGCTTCATGTTTTCAAATATATTTTAGACCTGAGAAACTTTGCTCACAATATGTGTGTGTAATTAGTAATAACTGTGTACAAGTCAAGTTTCCTCATGATTTAGAAAGCAAAACTTAGAGCACATTTTTTCTATAAAGATTCACAGTGACAGAACTTGTGAAACATTTCCAAGTTGCAATCAAGAAACTTCTCAATCGAGATCAATCAGTTTATGACTAATTTATCTAAATATATACTTGTATGAAATTATAACTGAAGAACTGATACAAAACAGTAGGTTTTCTTACTGAACTGCACATTATAGAGAAAACTCTGAATATAAAAGTTGGTGGGGGTTTTTTCTTTAAGAAGACAAATACTTTTCTGCTGAGTGCACTCAGTTTGCCATCAATCAAAAGCTCTTGTTTCCACAGGAAACAGTGGCAATTAGTAGCGGACAAATCACAATGATCTGGCAGAACAACATAATACCTCCCCGTAGAATGGAAGATCAGAAAGACTGCAACCTGTAATAAGACAGGAGTTATCATTTCCACTGGAAACAAGCACAACCACTACTGAGAAGTCATGAAAACTTGCCAGCTTTTTCTCCACAATATAGAAGCAAGATGGCAAAGCACATGCCAAAAAGCTACTTGGCCATAGGGATCAATGGGGGGAAAAAGAAAGTTAAAAAAAAAAAAAAAAAAATCAGATGATGTATTACGCTACAACTGAATAAAACTTCAGACTGGATACCAGGAAAGTTTGAAATCAGTGAGCTACAAAATTTTCATTTCAGTTAAGTTTCTCTTTTGTGAATCCATTCAAACTTACAATCTCTAAAGCATTAAGGAACAAATTCATTCCGAGTTAGACATGTACCTGTAGATAAAAAAATAAGAGAAAATTCCCAAACTGAAAGACTTGAGATAAGACAAACTCTCCCTGAAGACTGAAGCACAGTATTCTTGACAGGTTGTCCTTCTTCCCAAACGGCAGACTGCTAGTCAAGCAATTAATTCTGTGGCACTCGTTCTTTACTAAATGTTAGTATTAAGCATTCCTCACACACATTAGTTTTTCAAAGGATGTTTAAACCGTAACAGTAAGACAACACTGGATTCTGTAACAGTTACTATTAAAATGGATAATAATTCTGAAAAAGTTGACATAATGGGGAAGAGGGGAAGAAAATGAAAAAGTAAAATCAAAATTCCATAATTTTGTTCTGTTAAAGCCATCACATTGACAATTCACTTGGACATTCATTCTCATTGTCTTCGGCATTATTCTTTTTCTCACTCTTGTACGTGGAAAGGAATAAGTTTTCTATCTGAGTCAAGAACTCTTCAGCAATGAAGCAGTTAGTTACCTTGCCCAAAGTCTTCCGCATGCACTCCAAAAGCTAGTCAAAAGAAAAGGAGATTTTTTTTAAAATTGTCATTTTCCCTGAGTTTATTTTTTTTCCCCTTCTAGCTGGTAAGTATTCCAAAGAGATATGTTTTTATTTATTTCAGATTAATGCTACAGAAAGTGTTCAACTGTACAACAGAAATTTTAGAAAGGAAGAATCACACAGGAACACATGGGTGATTTAAAACCAATTCTTTAAAAGCAATTCCACAATAGCTAAATTGAAGAGTATTCTACCAACTCAATTTTAGATTTAAGCTGTTTATAAGCAAAGTCATGTTGAAAGGAAAAAAAAAATTAAATGTGGGTAATCATTGTGTACGTGTTTTCTGTTTATGTCTTTGGGCAGATTTTCTGTCTTGTTTGTGCAATTAATGTTACAGCTGTAGTTATTTAGAACTTCATTGCAATGACTACACTGACTGGAAGATTCAAGTTCACACTTACGCATGACAAACATGGCACTACTTTACTGATCAAACAAAGGACAAGGAAGTCCAAGTCTGCTCTTGAAACACGTGCAGCTCTCAACACCAAAGGCACATAACATGCTGAGAAGTGATTAGTTTGCCATTTATTCTCCAAACTGAGGTTAAAACTTGGAATCTGCATGTAACCACTGTCCCCAACTCTCTCAAGTGAGCACCTTTATTTTCATTGTCTTTGTAAGTAAATAAGCTGCACCATAAAACTAATTTCTTCTGATTAGTTTACATCTCTGATTTGTGAAAATGTAACTTCAGGTGACTTCTGATAATATGAAACAGATATGTATTTAAAAAAACATTTAAAATTAAAAAAGCTAAAAGAAGAAAACTTACTTTCTGCAAACAAGTCAGGTCAGAATCTCTATGAAAAATTTTATCCATGGGGACACTGCTGTTGAAAGAAAAAACAATAGTAGTGCTGTAGAAAGCTGCCACACATCTTTATTGAAACAGCAATAATAAACAGGTAAAAATTCTAAACTGGCTATTTTTTATAACAGAAGTAGATGTATACCTGTGGCAGGATCTGTATTTTTCAATTATCCACCTTGTTTTTTCAAATACTAATTCCCACTGAGGCTCCTCCAACATCTGCTGTACTTCAAATTTGTAGGGCAGGCCTGTAATCAATTGAACATGATTAATCAGTGTTTCTAGTACACTCAACTCTTTTTCTTCTTCTTTTTTAGTTTTAGGTGCAATCCCTTTCTTCACCATAACTGTTCATAATTTATTGCTGACTGCAGAAGCTTGCAGTCCTGTTATTTGTCAATGTTAAGCAGGTTAAAGTAAAAGTACAATGTATTTTGGAATCCAAATTTAATTTTGGTGGGAGTAGGGAACAAACCTGTTCTCCTCCCTGCCCTTGCTAATTCCTCATGCCATAAGGAAGCACACAGAAATCTACAACATAACAGAAAAATGGCGAAACTAATAAGAGTTTTTATAACTCAGTACCACTTTTGTAGTCTGTCCGAGATCCATGTGGATATTCAGTGAATAAAAAAGGTTTTGTTTTTTTACGTATGAACTGGTTGATGAAGTGGCTGACTGTTGTTCTAGATTTCAGAGGAATTTTGCTCCTAAAGGAAGAAATTTTATTGCAGGTGGGGGAAGAGGAATTTAGCAAGTATTCTAAAAGAACACCAGAAAATTACTTGCAGAACACAATTCAGTTACCAAAAATCAAGGAGAAAGAAAGAGGCTGTAAATTTCAGTAAGTCATTTTAGAAAAAAAAAAAACCAAAACAACAACTAGACCTTAGAGTACATCAAAAGAAAGCAATAAATACAATTTGCTATTTGAACACATCTCAGATATGAAAAGTGTTCAGCACAGAATGCATTTCCAAGATTAAGAATTAATTTATAGAAATATTTTTTGGCTCATATGAAACACTAATTTTTGTTCATTTGCACAGTACTATAGTGCTACTGCCACAGTTTAACTTTTCCAAAGAGCTAGAGGAGATACCGTTTTGTAAAAAGTTGATTTCAGGAGATAAACATAAATATTAAGTCCTCTCAGACACAAAATGGATGCGACCAAAAAAAGGTCTAGGTATTTTAACTCCACGTCACCAGGGTGGGATGCATGGGAAATGAGGAGAAAATGAGGGTACTATCACTGTTGGGTAAACGGGAATTCCTGCACAGCTATGGCCACCACTTCACGTCCCCTAGGACTATGAAGCAAGGCTCCAGGCAGATGCTCTCCCTTGCTAACTTCCACAGGAGAAAACAGAGGGGAAACTGTTGGCTCACATGCCTCCGCTATTGCCTGGGCAAGAAAACTGGAAACCTTGGAGTTCGGATGCAAAATTCAGGACTTAAACAGGGGGAAGGAGGAGGAGAGAGAAGAGGCAGCTACCGTAACCATATGATGTTATCATGGGCATTATGATAACAAATTAATGTCAGGGAATGAGAAGATCTGCTCACCACTTGAAATACCATAAGTGTTACATGATATGTTCTTAACTATTCAAGAAAGGAAAACATCCCCTTTTCATGAAATGCCAATGACATTTTTAATCAAGAATTTGTTCTCTTAGGTGGGGATTCATGCCAGGACACCATTTCAAATTTCATATCTTGTGTTTGCCTGGACAGCTGCCGAGTTTGATCCTTTGACCTTCTGATGCTAAGTTACTCAAACAAGGATTTTTGGCCGCTACAGCAGCCAATGCTTTGCCCTTATACTTCTGTCTCCTCGATCAGAGGATCTGTTCAGAATTTTGTAATGCAGCAAAGTCTAAGTAATACATGCGCAGCAGTTTCTCAGATATTCATATGGATACTGCATGTAAATAACAGCAAGTCTTGTCCCAACCCTTTAATTTCTTTCATGGGTTGTGGGAAATACTAATACAGAAAAACAATCTTCTGTCTACTTATATTTGTATATTCTTGTCATGACAGCATGGACTACTTGCAGGACTACCCTTGAAGTGAAATTCCTGGGTTTGTACAGCACGAGTTACCAACGTAAATATATAAATACCTATTTCTCAAGTTCAGGAAGAGACAACATTTTTCCCCTTAGTATCCAAAAGAGAAAGAAAAATTAAAACAATGGATAAAAAAATCAGTACTTACGGTAGGAACCATCAGAACTGATCTCATCGCTAATTACCAGACAAGTAATCTGAGAATACGGGAGAGGATTATTTCGGTTGTAAGGACTTATGATCATTCCAATGAACATGGCACCACCCCTGGAGAAGTAACTCTAAAAAACCAAAAACACAGAAAAAACACACATACAAGAAATACAGCCTTTTTCAGAACAGCATTTTGAAATTAACAAAACAGAATTTATGTCAATTTACAAATGAGCTGATTTTAAGACACGTTAGAGCAATAATGTATATTAACATTGTTAAATACTGGGGAGGCTTCAGGGTTGTTGGTTTTTTTGCTATTTATTTATTTTTAAGGTACAGACCAGCAAATACCTGGTATTTAGCTTGAGTGTCAATATCTCGTATTGAGGGGTTGGGGTCAAAGGCCGGGTGGGAATGGTACCATCCGATAACACTGTATCCTCTGGCAGCCAGCGTTTCCGAGGCCTGTGTTTGAGATACTGGATCCATCTCGCACTGCAGTCCTGTACTGAGACTATTGCACGGCTCTGCTGCACAGACCTGTTAAAAAAGTCTCCAGATGGATAAATGCAAGAAATCTCCATCAGTTAAATAAAATTTAAAGAATTTTAAGAGTCATATCTCAGATCTTCCTTACGATAGTGCCGACAGGCCAACACTTGAAAATAAGCATAACTCTAACATTTCAAGACTACAATAATTAACTTCAACTTCAATATATTAAAGTAGTTGCCCTTCAGAAATAACATTTACATCTATTCAAATCATAATATATTATCATAACAGTTTTAATACTTCAGAGAAGTATTTTAGAGAAATCTAAAAAGACAAACACTTACTTCTACAATTTTATCAGCTTCAGAGTATCTTCCACCTAGCAACCCGATCACTTCTGCCATAGACACATGAGAGTGCTAAAATGATATTAAACAATTATTAAAGTCCAACTTGTACAATTTCTCCTAGTTTTGAGCTGCACATGACAGAATACATTGGCTAAACAGCTAGAAGCCAATAACTTCTCAATGACATTCAGAAGGAAAACTTAGGACAGCTAAAGATGCTCCAATACTTGGTGTTTCAATTTAAAGCAAACAGAAAAGATTATGTTTGCTTATTATATACGGGTATGTATATAGTGCATTTGTATACCACCTCTGTACGTGAAGCTATGCTAGCTTCAAAAGGTGATGCCTATGCACAAATTTTGGTACAACCTATTGTTACTAAAAAAAAACAACTAACCAACCACAGATTGCTTTATAAACTCAAAAATCAATTCCCAAACTAGTAGAAAATGAACCCGTATGATTTCAAAATGACAGTCTATTTTAGGAAGTAGCTTTAAGCAAATTATACTTAAAGTATGATGGAGAGTAGTAAGTAGCAATGCTCTTATTAGTTCTTCTAGAAGGTAAATGGTTGTATGCTAAGCACAAAATGAAAAAACATTAATCTTAAGGGGTTTTATTTAATACTAGATTCTCACTTCTAGGTGTGAATGGAAGGAAGCACTGTATTTCTCAAGCTTCTTATGTTGCCCATTTAAAAAAAAAACACAACGCAACATACACATCATAGCTTTTTGAAAGATAAAACTTAGTCCTCACCAAATCCATTATTAAAAGTGCTTCGGAAGACACTTTCACCTGAAAAGGTTCCTGAAATGATAAACACAATAATGAGCATAAGAAAAGTAAAGTAAGTAATAAAGAGTTCTTGATTATTCGCTCGTAGGTACATACCTGTTTTTCTTCAGTGAATAAACAGCACGGTATCAGCTGAAAGGGATCAAAGGAACTATAAAATGAAAGAAAATTTCTCTAAAGATGTAGGACAGTCAGGAAACTTCTCAAGTTTCCCACTGTCTCCTTGGCAGAGGAGAAATAATCTTGTTTTCTTGACTGGATTTTCTCATCTCACACTAGGGTGACTTCCACCAAGTACAAACTTCACTACCCACACCTGTGACTTTCAATACAAAACATTTGAAACACATACATGTTCTTTCAGACCATAATACATATTAGTGATTTGCAGCGTTCCAGCCTGACACTACACAAGACACCCATTTCATTCCTAGAAGATCTATGTTTGAATATGATGTACATCAAAGAATACCTTTTTATTTGTCTTGAACCTTTAGAAGATTTTGCAGGTTTCAGTTTTTCTTCCTCTCTTCTTCTTGCTAATTCTTCAGCAGACAGATGCTAAAAAAATTTAAAAATAATTAAATCAATCTTAATGTCTTAAGTGCTGTTTCAGTAGTGATTCCAAAACCAGCCCAGGATAAATTTGTGACATCAATGTCCTCTTGATATGCTACCAATTTGTATGCATTACAGGACTACGCAGGACAGAGGGCATCACCCATAGCAGAATCAAGCAGTGTGAAAGTAATGACGATCATAGATGTAGTCCACCAGATGCCTGATGAGAGAATTCTTACATTCTCCAAGCCAATCAAATTCAGTAAAATCACAGCCCATAGCACAAATCATGCATAAATGCAAGTGGGATAACTAAGGAGAAAAATGTGCCATTTCAGTCTGTGGCGAGCATTTATCATGACACCTCTTTAGAGACTAGTGTTCTCAAACTTTATTTCCATCCAAATATGTCTTTTGCAGAAAGTGTTGGAATTATTAACCACAGTTACTCAAAAATAGGTATGGCATTATAACATTATGGAAGTAATTGTTATAGATACTCATTACTGAAGGTTGCAAATTTAAGTGGTTTTCTATACAAGAAAAATGTGGTGTTTACAGTTCTTCACTTTTTGTATAATTTGAAATTGTAGGAATGGACAAGTAGATATTTTCTTTCCAAGTCTTCTATAAAATATTCAAACTTGTAAGAATTTTTCTAAGCACTTCATAAACCACAGTATTTCTGAGGATACTGCTAGTAGCAGAATTAATATTAGGAACTCGTATCACCTGGATTATAAGCACAAAGAAACTGTATAGGATGGAAAAAACAACATTTAAATCTTAATTCTCCTATCCCCTAGCGTTAGCTTTAGTAAGGCAGTTAACTGAAAACAAAGGGTCATGAAATCTCCTACAAGACAAGGCAAAGAGCTTTAGAGGCATAAAAGAGTGTAGGGCGATACATGCTCACAACATGAACACCTTTGTAAACACCAAAGTACAGCTGTATCAAGATGTAACAGCTGCTACATTATTTTCAAATTACTGTTTCCACAAAGAGAGGTTAAGTACCTATTACACAACTGTTTTCCTTGTATATTTGATGCAACACCACCTGCTAGCAATTAGCAAGAATTAATTCTTTAAGGAACATTTAAAACACAGAAGGGTTACCTCAAATGTCTGTCCTTCCAAATCCTTTGCATCACACCAGTTTCCCCAGGGGTCTCGCACTCGCCGTCTTCTCGTACGCTGCAGCAAGCAAATCAACGTGAGTCAAGGATCTCATTCCTGAATAAACTGCATTTACTTCATTTAATCAACCATCAGAAGATTGTCCAAAAGGTTACTGCCACATGAATGTTACTAACGCTATGACATATTTCCAGGAAAGAAAGAACACCCTGAAGATCTGTAGAATTAAGTAGTTCACAACGTGTCCTGAAACATCATCAGTTAAGTTTTCAGATGTTAAGGCTGTAAAGCCTAACACCTGCTTGATATTCCATGGATCATCGACATCTCTGACAGCAACAGTGCGTTATTATCCAGCTCTGAATTACAGCTCAGACAATACAAAAAGCTGTAAAACCAGTATGTTTACATCTAGTGTATGCTGCAGTTCTTTATATTTCAATTTATTATTTTTTTTTAGTAGGATTGAGTTAGTTTTCCTCTCATCAATGGATTTATTTTGCTGTGAAGTACTTAAAAAAATGCTACATGAAATGTGAATATGAAAATTAAATCTGGTAAGCCTTGGTCATTCATGTAGTTATATAAATGAGTTGCTACTGTACTTAATTACGTGCATAAGGCTCTCACAGTAAGCCATATCATATACCTACTAAACAGTTAAAATGCAAGCAACTTAGTCACACACTACCAATACACTCCACTATTTTCTGGCTAATAAATTATGGAGAGGTGGAGAGGAAGGGGTTAGGGCTGCAGCAAAAAGACTGAAACAATCATAGTTAAGTACCTGAACAGGAATCAAACGTGCAAGATAGCAGAAGTTAAGGCAGACACCTGTCAGACAGTGGAACTCGTACTTAGACTGATGCTCAAATTACAGGGCTTTCTAATGAAACTGCAAACTGAATGAGAGGAGAAGTTTCCTGAAATGCCCTAGCTTGAAAATGAAAATTGAAAAGACCTTCTCCATGCCAAATGTTTTTTGCCACTCCCACCTCCCTCACCAAAACATACCATGGATTGCAAGCGCTGAGCAAGCTGGTACGCTTCCACTGTGTCTTTGCCTTCTTTGGATCGTGTTTTATCAGCTGGTTGGGGTCGGTTATAGACAGCCTGTTCTACAGGATAGAGAAAACAGATACACTGTACTTCACTGAAGTATGAAGCCACTTAAGCAACAACAAAAAACCCCACAGTGAAAAGACATCTCTCGGTGATCATATTACTGACTGATTACATAGCCCTCTCCCACTACCACAGCATTTTTAAGTCAGGAAAACCTCCTTCCTTACTGTTAATTTATTTTTAATAACCTTTACTTCAGACAAAATGTATTTGCAGGACATTCGTCCTCTCCTAGGTGACTGTCATTCAGCTTTCGACCAAAATCAATCTAGAGACTCTAAAACATTAAATTCTAGGTGCATGTATATATACTTTTAACATGTCCCCTAATTCTAACATTTGAATCTTGTAAAAACTAGCCCTGAGGACGAAGACATTGTTTTTTATTCAGGACACAGTTATAATTCAGCATGGGAAAAGAAACAGTAACTTGAATTCTGTCTTACACGGAAGGAGGGCAGAATTTCAGATACAGCAGGTATCAGGGGGAAAATATCCAACACTGGACACACAGAAAAGCACAAACCAAACAAATCACCCCACCAGCTGGTGTGCAGTAAACATGAGGGAGGCAGGGAGGAAGGAAAGAAAGAAGAGGTCTTGTGTAAAACCAAAAATCCATAATCATAGAATCATAGAACTGTTTGGGTTGCAAGAGAGCTTAAAGATCATCTTGTTCCCACCCCCCTGCCATGGGCAGAGACACCTTCCACCAGACCAAGTTGCTCAAAGCCCGATCCAGCCTGGTCTTGAACACTTCCAGGGATAATCCTGTAAGCAGGTTACAAACTCCTCTAGATTTTCAAAGGTCATGAGAGACAATCTGCTCAGAAGGTCCTTCCGAGTAAGGATTATTGTGCATCCTTCTGTGTGAGCAGTACACTCTAACATTAAGTAGTCCTTCAACATTAATACCAAAATAAGCTACAGCCATATAGGTTGGAACATGACTGTACTAAACACGGTCCAAAGAAAGATTCACTTCTACAGAACTGAAATGTAACAACAATTACTATTAAGAGTACAGAGAAGTTGGAAGATTATGCCCACAGATGCTTGATTCCAATTAAGTGCAGTCATTCACACCTCAATGAAGTGAACTTATGACTTTTCTTTTAAAGACACATCTACTAATCTTGTTCAGCCTCCACATAAAAACATTCATTTTAATTAAAAAAAAGCTGACAGTCAACAATAGATATGTTCAGCACGTACGGATTAGAATTTAGGTTCTGAATTGATTCCAATAAAAATATCTTTACCACAGCCAAAGTTAATCGCTCCTATTAATTCCAAGTATGTGTGGATCCGTCCGATACAGTTAACATCACCGCAGTTCTTCAAGCCTGGACGTACTGAGGTCTTATTCAGGTATTTGGGTTTACATCTCTCCCTAAAATAAAGTATAGCACATTATCAAATAGTAAAACAAATCATGGGAAGAGGAAGGAACTGTGTGACTTAAGCTGAGGTTAAGATGAGCCACTGAAGTGGTTTTTTTTTCCCGTCCACGATGCACACACAACACACCGTTATCCAGGGCAATCACAGCAAAAATATAAACTTCACAAAACACACATACAATTTATTTTAGGGTTGTTCATACACATTCATACTTATGCAGAGTGAAACTTAGGTTCCATGCATTACAACAAACTCTTCTACACAACTGGTGCCAGGAAGCAATGAATTACTCAGAAGAACTACGATACTGTTAAACTGATACAAGAATGTCTGCATTAGATTACCCTAAATAGCTCCTATAATCATAGGCTTCCTTGGTGTAATAAATAAGCCTGTTTTCACTCTCTGTGTGCTTATTACTTGCTTTTAAACTGATATTGAATTGTTTCAGTTCAACACTTCTCTGGTACAGAATTGCAGAGTTTCTTTGCAACTAGAATAAGCTGTCAATACACAAGACAACTGAATGAGAAGAGAGTTAAACTCAGCAGTTCTTTCTACTTAAAAGCAAGCTAACCAACCACAAGCAGCACACAAAACGAAACTGTTAACACAACAAACTGTATATTGAGCCTGCTACCACAAATCCCTAAGGTTCCTTAAGCTGATTCTTTGGAGACGGAATATAAAATACTCAAATGTACAAGCACGACTCCAAATCGATTCTTAATTCAAAGTATTTTTTTGGTCAACATTATTTGCTCTAGCACAGACTATTTCTTCTAGCTGCCCTTCTGTACAGGCAGTACTAGACCTCATTACAGAATTAATTTAATCAGTTATTTTGAGGAACCATTTATTAAAACCATATATGCCTTTTTATATCTAGGATGACAAAAATTAGAAGAAAATAACGTAACCAAAATGGATGCAGCTTGTTCTGATATAGGACACTCATTTTCATAGTGCTTCCAAGTATTTTCATTGCTTAGGTTCAAGAATACTAGAAAAAAAAAAAAAGGGAAGATGCAAAAGAAGCATTTATAGTCAGTGCTGTTCACTGATATCTTTATAATGCCACCATAAAATTAATTTTACTCTTTCAGAAGTAAGCTATTAGTCCTCAGTAGCATTTTAACTACAATAAAGCAAGCCATGAGTCATCTTAATCACTTATTTCAGTAAATGAAATTAATGCACCTTACCATTGATCCAAAATATAATTCCTAATTTTCAAATAACGCTCTGGTGTTTTGGCCTGGCGCCCTTCAAAAAATTCAGGAATAGCTTGCTTTTCTTCTTCCAGAATAATGCTTCTGTCAACCTCCACTTCTTGATCAGGCGGCTTAAGCTCCTCTGCTTCTTCTTGATGATCTTCATCCACTTGGCAGGGAGAAGGAAAAAGCAATCCATTATCAGCCAGGTCCCTCTGTTCCTCATTAATCTCCTGATGAGTCAGTTGTCTAGTACCATGAGATGTTACTAGTCTGCCTTGTTCAGCTTTCTCAATGAAATTATGGTATTGCTGGTAATCTAAGTTCACAGATTTATCACCATTCAGGTGCTGAGAACATGTTGCTGCAACACCTGGAAATACTAATGCATCCACTGTATCTTGCTTGGTATGTTGAGGATCTTCTTTAGGTAAAGGAATCGCAGAACTGTGTCCAACAGATGAAAAACCATGTTCCATTCCTTTCGTTTCTTCAACCGGACTTTTTGAAATAACAGATAATTCAGATTTTCCAGTTTCTTGCTGGAAGGTAGGTGAAAGTAGTTCATCCATGTCATCAGTTATGTCTACTTCTTCATCATCTGACAGCTTTTCAATTTTCACTGCATTCAGATTGGGGTCTGCACGGCCTCTCAAGTTTCCAGATGACCACGTTTCTACCCTTATCCCATCTTCAATGGGAAGACTGCTCCCACACTGACTTTGCTCTTCTTTTTCAGAATCACCATTTTTTGCCTTAGGAAAATATAAAACACTTTTAGGAGGGAAAAACAAAACAATCCCTTCTGCCTTCCAAATAGTCAGAGCTATTTTCCTTGAACAGCAGACATTCCAAAGTGTTTCTTCCTCATCTTACCCTTTTAGTACATTTTAATCCATTGCAATTGACTTTTACGCAGCATTATAGGTATACTTCTAGCCCAAGTGTAAATTAACGTGTATTTCCATTTAAAAAAACTAGACAGTAGTAATTTCTTCTTAAATGCCCCCAAAGTCTCAAATTAGGCTAAAGCCAAGACTACAACACACAGTTGAAACGGCTGTATAGTGGAAAACAAACATTTTCAGACTAACAACCAACAGTATAAGAGACTACAATTATACTACATTTACTGTTTAGTTATACTAGCAATAAAAATACTGAAGTTATTCCAGGAATTTGAAATCAGGTCTCACTTCATATTTAAATCTGCAAATAAGCATATTCCACTTTTCTGAATATGGGAACAACTAGAGTACGTACTTTAACAGCAGCACCCTGAAAAGACAGACTAAAATCAAGCTACATGTACAACAGCATATTTGTCAAACAGCCTTTCTGCTAACTACAGAGATACTCTGTTTACCTTGTTCTTAAAATACTGCCGAGCATAGCTCTTTACTTGTAGAACAGTACGACTTCCAACCAACTTGGCAATTTTTGTCCACCGGCGGCCAAATTTCACCTAGTACAACAAACAGCAGAGCAAACCCACGGTCAATAACCTCGCTGTTCATATTCTACCAAGAAGAAAATTGCATCCAATGGTAAGAATTATTGCTATTCTTCTTAACTAGAGGATCTTCGTCAACCAATTCAGGCACACTGTAAATAATGTTGCCTACTAACCCAAGGAATCCTACGGAAACGAATTTGTACTTGGCGACACAAACCCTGTTACATTTGGCGCTCTACAACCATATAAGCTCTAAAGACCTTACAACAATTAAAGGATTTTACTTTATTAGCTCATTTGCCTTAACAACACACTACGCTTCCTGTAGTTAACTACAGCATTATGACTGTACAATTCATAGAGCTGTATATTTGAAGTATTTCATGACCTCAAATTGTAATCAGCCTCACATGAACAAAATCTGGTAAACAAAACCATTTTGGAGGATGCATCAATATAAATTTGATTTATCATTACACTGTTAGTAGACGGTAATTATTTTTAACACATTAGAAGTACAAAAGCAGAAACAGATAAATATAACATGCTTATTTATAGTCATTATTATTCTGTTATTTAAAATAAACTAATTACTTCTATTCAAAATATTACATATATAAACAAACTTACCAGTCCTTGTTCAAACAGTTCTTTTTCTTCTGATGTCCACTTTAATGAGTAGCTAGCTGATTTTGTAGGTGATCGCACCCTAGGAAAATAGGAAGCAGAAGTTAGTGCTTTCTTAAAAATATATATGTTCTCAAATCCCAGTAACTGAAGGCAACTTCTGACAGGAGGACTACTCCCCATCTTCAGTAAAACTGAAGGTATTGTTTGAAACAAGAATGCAACCGATAAATAAAATATTGAGAATCATGTCAGCTTTTCCATCACAGAGGAAGATTCAAGGCAGCACAATATTCATCAGTAACTAACAGTACAGGAATACAGAGAAGCAGCAAACAGAAAAGTTCAGGCAAGAAAGCCAACTAGAATTAACAAGGATTTTTTTCCTAAGGACCACTGTGCTACAAAAACCAAACTAGCTTACTACAGGCCTATTATTACACACAACAATACTTCTTTGCATTAAAAGGTCTCTTAAATAATTTTGTACAGCCAAAAAAAAGGAACTAAGGACCTGTAACTTGGTTTTGGTTTTCTTTTTAAATAATGTCTGGTAACTTAGCAAAAATCAGACACCAAACTTAAAAATATAACTCAATCATTAAAATGTACGTACATGACTTTTCCAGTTTTCTTATGTGGGCTGCAAATAAAAAACAAAGTGAAAACAAAAATTAATAATTGTGATGCTGTGGCATATCTCAGCAAATAACCTTATTTTGGAAGGACTTTTCATTTCTTCTCGTCCAACTGAGAATTTTTCCCAGCTTACCTTTTCATAGTTCTTTTCTCCGCTTCCTTGTGATTGAGCCATATTTTTTCAGAAAGTGATTTATTAGATAAATAATATCTGAAATAGTTACTAAGTAAGTTTTCAAAGCATCAGAGATTTTTGTACACATGAGAATTCTAATAATCATATAAATTACAGTGGTTCATAATTATTCAGCTGTAGAAACAAACACTGCACTGCTTTCAAAACTGAAATGCACAATTTCACACACTCCTACTAGTTTAATGCATAAGGAAGTGACATTTGACTTCTGAAACCCCACGCTCACTTTACTTGCAGCAAACTAGCTATTCTGTTTCTACAACAGCATTTTTGTTCTGACTTAGAAAACATACTAAAGTAATTTTCATTGTACTGATACCTTCTCTATTTCCAAATTAAGCCTCAATAATTCATTCTATTTGGAAAACTTTAATTGCTTTATTTTCTTGTTCTTCTATTACTGTATATTACTACAGTCAATTAGATGAAAACAAATTAGCCCACAATTACTATTGCTATAATCTACCCAGTCTGTGAGGTCAACTTATGCCAGAAACGCTACTACTGGTAGGACTATTTAAGCCAACACTGCTTAAAAAGAGAGAAAAAGAAAAAAAAAAAAAACCATCAGCTGTTCCTTCCTGTTTTCATCTTGCATGCTGGCAGAAGTATGAATGCAGCCAGACAAAATCAGACAGTAAACCAATCCAAGTGAAAAACAATTCAGCAAAAAGAACTAGCTATTTTTAGCCAGATCAGCTGTTTGATCTGGTTCACTATGAAGTCACACAAACGGCTGCATCAGGACAATGCTGGAGGTGGCACTGAACAAGCAGCTGAAGTAGGGACAAATATTGCTATTTTTGATGCCAGCGCCAGCTTAAATCTGACAAGCTTACAAGTAATTTTCTGAAGAATCAGAAGCATCAGAGGAAGCTGCAGGTAGCTAGATGATTAATTCAGGGGTCCTCCTTGATTTCTGCAATCTACCTACAAGATGACAGTGCTTCAGTCACCTTAACAAGAAAAGATTTGTCCAGTTCCTTTGGAAACAGGAAGTTTTCTATTATTCTACAGGACAACATATAAGCAAATCAGCAAAAGGATACTCTTCTTCCAACAACATTTTCTCAATGGCAGCCCTGTTTTCTTCGCTAATGCTGCTGTCCAACGTCCATGGCTGCAAACAATACAAGTATGTTTTAATATTTCAATTCTGTCACGCTGTGACTTGAATGTTAAGAATCAATATATAATAGTTTCTAAAAGTAAGCAAAAAGCACTGGTTAAAAACCTAAAAGAGCATGTACATAGAGGGAAGAGAATTGAGAAAACAGAAGTTCTGATAACCTTGCTAGAAGTACCATTCATGTAAAAAATACTTACAAGACTGTTGTCAGTTCTCCAAGATGAATCAAGATAGTGATCCTGCAGCAAGCTTGAAGCTGTGTTTTCATGATCTCTGAAAAAGATTCAAGTGTTTGAAACAACACAAACATTCAAACAAAACAAATGCTGTCAAAGTTAAGATAATGGTGTCGTAAATAACAAAAGCATTAACAGATGACAGAATTAGATACTAAAACTAAAATCATATGTTGCAGACTATGATATAATGTTACTCTCTTATAATATTCCATTAGACATAGCATAAATCCCCCTCAGTAAGTGATCTTTTTTAGTAATCTCAGTAGCAACTCCTCATCTATCTCGCTGCGGACTGTATGAGATACCAGTGAAACCCTGAACAGTAAAACAACTGAAAGCAGGAGAGAACATGTAAAATATACACAAATGAAAGAAGTCGGAATTTTACAGTCAAATGAAGAACTGTATTTTTAATATTAAATGTGTCACTGAGTCGTATTACCTCTACTTAACATTTCTACATCTTTCCCCCAATATGGTAAAAACACCCTCTTGTTAAAGACAAACCTGTTTTCTTCCCGAGGAAAGCTTATACTTACACAAGGTTTAATAGAATCCTATCATACAGGGTTGTTAGTGCTCTTACAGACTTCCTCCAGATTATGCTTGATCTTTTCTGTAAATAACTATTTATTACTTTCAGAAATCTGTCACTGATTAACATCATTTATCAACTTTTTCTACTTTAACGCTGCATAAAATCTCCTTAGTAATTCACGTAATTACTTGTTTTCAAAAATCTTTGCTTCCAGAATGTTCGAACTTTTCTAAAGACTAATTAGCCCTATATCCCCTGCAATGCTACTACATTAAATTGACCTACTACTCTAAACTGCTTTGTGCCAGCAGTTTGAACATCTCATTGTAGGTAAGTATAAATCCCCAGGTACAGCCAGGAACCAATTCAACTCCCGCTTCTTTAGGAGCATATCAAGAAATGGGTCAGATCAATAGTCCCCTTAGCCCAGTATTCTGTCTACAGCTGTGGCAGGTGCTATTCTAGGACAAGATGTGAGTCCGGCCACTGTCTCCGGTACAATCCTCTCATACTCTCCCGGCATCTGCAACTGCTAGACTTGTAGTATTACAACTGCTGCCCGTTCTCTTCAGCATCTGTTTGCAGATCCCTCATCCGCGAATTTGTTGAATCAGTTTTCTGAACCTACCTGCCTCCATAAGTTCACTACCAGTTATGCAACACAGCAGTCTCTCTCTACGCCTCTTAAAGGAGACTCCTAGCAGTTTCACCAAGTGTCTCTATTTCACGTATTGCTGGATCCGATGGCATTAGTTCTGCACTCACCTCCCTTCAATAATTTCATAGGCCCCGTTCGCAGTGTCCTGCCCGACGATGCTCAACACTGGCGCTTCCTCCCCCACCACGGGCCCTCAATGAGACTCCAAGGTCTCTCCCCTGAGGCGCCGGGCG